ATTATTAAGACTTTTGCAGCACATCAAATTTGGGGTCTTAATATTACAATATTTTATAATACTGTTTTAAATATTTAATATAATACTGTTTAATATTTAATATTTTATTAAAATATGGAAGCTATACTTGAGGATACCTTTTTATATTATATAAAATGTATGTAATATAGATCAAATAAAAAAATACAATGTCCTGTTTAATAATCTGAAATAGTTCTCACAGTTAAGTCTTGAGAGTATGACTTTCCTCTTGATGTAATATAATTTGAAACATGCTGAGAGTTAAAGGTATGTTTTGTGTTATTTGAGAGTTTTTGTGTTTTTAAGAAAAAGAAAACAAATTCTCATACTACCACTACATTAGCTCTGTGACCTTGGACAGAGTGCTTCACTTGTCAGTTAAGTTTCTGTGATCTACAAACTGGAGGTATAGTAGCAATACCTACCTCATAGGGTTGTTAGGAAGATTAAAATGAATAACAGATATAAAGCTCTCTGCCAGAAGCATTTCATAAATCGTCGCTATTGGTGATGATGATGATGGTGATGCTGGTAAACCAAAACAGCAAAATACGGTTCTTCTCTCATTCTGGTAGGCATAAAGTGCTCTTTTCGCTGGTATTGTGGGTGTCACTTCATTTTCTTCCTAGCTTGCTTTGCTTCCTCTGGCTCTGTGTCTAACCCTTTGGTTAAAAAAAAAATTTTTTTTGAGCATATCTTCTTCTAACCCTCTGTTACCTTTTGAAAAATCATCAGTCTATAGCTTTAATGCTGTCAGCAATCTTTTTCTGTGTGATGTGGGCTCAGTCCTGATTTTTTTGCCTCACAGTCATGATGTGTAATTCGTGCAGCCAAATTGATGCTCTTCTTGTCAGATGTTTACACCATTTGCTACTAGAACTGCCTTTGTCCCTTACATCCCTTAACTGACACAGTAATCATAACTATCACATAGGAAGAAAGGGCAGGTACATAGAGGTATGTTTTTAAAAATCATTTATGATTTTTTTAGCATTGAAGAAATTGAGGTATAATTTGCATACCATGAAATGCACCCATTTTAAGTGTATTATAGGATGAGTTTTAGTAAATGTACACAGTTATGTGTGTCTTGTGTTTCTTATACATCTTTCTTTAGCATCACCCACAATCTAGTTTTAGAACAAGTCTGTCAGCCCAAAAAGTTCTCTTGTGTCCATTTTCAGGCATTCCCCACTTCTGTTCTCTAACTCAGGACAGCACTAACCTGTTTTTTCCTCTGTAGTTTTACTTTTTCTAGAAATTTCAAATTAATGGAATTATATAATATGTTATCTTTGTGTCTGGCTTCTTTCATTTAGCACATGTTTTTAAGGTTCATGTTGTTGCATCCATGAGTAATTCATTCCTTGTTGTTGAGTGGTATTCCATTGCATGATGTACTACATTCTACAAAATCCGTTCTCCAAAGATAAACAGTTGAGTTGTTTGCACTTTTCAGCTGTTCTAAACATAACTGCTAAGATCATCCTTACACAACTGCTTGAATGTCATCTGTCCCCAAGAGAAGTGAAAACACACCTTGGTGTGAAATTGTTGGCTTATGTGTTGAGAAACTTCCAAACTCTTTCCCAAAATGGCCGTACCATTGTGCTTTCCTACCAGCAAGGGATGTCTTGTGAAGGTTCTAGTTTCTTCCTGTCCTTATCAACACTGTATGTTTTATTGCATGTCTAGCATATTTTATTTTGGTTTTAATTTCTGTTTTTCTGATGACTAATGATGTCTAGTACTTTTGTGTGTACTTTTCCCATTGTATATCTTCCTTTTTTTTTTTTTTTGAGAGGGAGAGAGAGAGAAAATCCTAAGCAGGCTCCACGCCTAAACTCACAACCCTGAGACCACCTGAGCAGAAATCAAGAGTCTGATGCTTAACTGGACCGAGACACCCAGGCGCCCCCCGCATTGTGTATCTTTTATAATATATATAATATATTTAAAAATCTTTAAATATTTTGCCCATTTTAAAAAGTTGAATTGTTTTATTATTGAGTTATTGAAGTCCTTTATATATTATAGATGGGCATCCTTATTATTTAGCTCTTTATGTATTTTAAATGCACATGCTTTATCAGGTAATTATTTTGCCAATATTTTCTCCCCATCTGTAGCTTGTGTTTTCATTTTTAAATTATGTCTTTTGAAGAGCAGACATTTTCATTTTAATGGAGTTCAGTTTGTCAGGTTTTTTTTTCTTTTATGGTCTTTATTTTTATTTTATGCCTTTGGTGTAATATCTAAAGTTTTTTTTTCTAATCCACAATAATTTTCTCCAGGAATCTTCTTCTACAAGTTTTGTAGTTTAGTTCTTACTTTTAGGTCTATGGTCCTATCCATTTTTAGTTAATTTTTTGTACATGGTACAAGGTAAAGGTCGAGGTTATTTTTCCCTTTCCATGCGTCTAATAGTTTTTGGCATCATTTATTGAAAAGACTGTCTTTTTCTCATTAAATTACCTTGTGACCTTTGTTGAATATGAATTGATATAAATGTGTGGAACTGTTTCCGGACTGTGTTCTCTTCTATTGTTTATCCTTATGCTAATACCCCACTGTTTTGATTGTAACTTTACAGTAAGATTTGAAATTAGGTAGTTTTTTTCAACTTTTGATGTAGTTTTAAGGTAGCCCTGGTTCAGAAATTTCCCAGTAGTTTCCATGTTTACGTGTCTCTGGAGGGTTATGGGCAGATAAAACCATTAGGACATTCCAGGGAAAATCGGTTCTCCTTTGGGTAGGACAGGCCTGAAGCTTCTGGGGTTTTTTTTTTTTTTTAAGATTTTATTCATTTATTTGACAGAGAGAGAGAACAAGTAGGCAGAGAGGCAGGCAGAGGGAGAGGGAGAAGCAGGCTTCCCGCTGAGCAGGGAGCCCGATGCGGGGCTCAATCCCAGGACCCCGGGATCATGACCTGAGCCGAGGGCACCGGCTTAACCGACTGAGCCACCCAGGCGCTCCTGAAACTTCTGTTTTTTCATCATTTCACTGAGTTACCTGTCAGAGCCAGCAGTGCTTAGCAGGATCATACTTGGTAGGATAATTGTAACACCTACTGTGCACCAGGTGCTTTATGTAATCATCTCATTGAATACTTCCAAGGTGCTGCAAACAGGACGTTATTATCCTCATTTTATATTTGAGTCCACAATAACACTTCCTAGGTCGCATACCTAAGCTGCTGCTAACAATAGAGTAATATTATCAGCAGCAGTATTTATATGATAAAGCCAGTTTTGAAAACTGGTCTGTCTGATGACTTAACCCTACGAGGTTTTTCCACTGTTTGGTGCTGCCTTCTTTTTCGTTTCGTTTCTTTTCTTTTCTTTTTTTAAGATTTATTTACTTATTTTAGAGAGAGAGTTCGGGGAGCAGAGTGCATTGGCACTTTCTCCTCATATTATCTTAGCATGTTAGTGAAAACGTACTGAATAATATAGATCAAGCAGTAATAGTTTAATATCATCACTCCTACTAATAATCACAACTTTTAGCTCTTGATTGTGGCATAGTGTGATGTCCTTGAGCGAATTAGTTGTTGGTATAGAATTATAATAGGCTTAAGTAGGCTAGCATAATGAATAAATTTACCCCAGTAGAGCCACAAAGAATTGATGACTCCTATTACATAACAGTTTATTGCACACTACTCACTGACTGCCACTTGAGGAGAATCCATTCGTTTTTCTTACTGTGATAACTTCTTATTTGCATACAGATTTTCTTTTGTTTTTCATGAATCATCACTAACTAATACCCTAGCTGCATTTCATTACATTTGATGATCTCCAGACCGAGCAGGTCCTGGTAAAACTCAAGATGGAATTTTTTCTATTTCCCTCCCCTTTTGACCTCTTTAGATTAAAGTAGTAAACATTAATACACAGACAATAGCATAAGCACATACTTGTTTGTATTCCTCACTGTACATCTTAGAAACAAACTTCTTTAGTGCAGTGGAAGTGATTCTCGTGTGGGTCAGAAAAATGCTGCAGGGTCCTTTGGAGTTAAATTCTTTGTTCTTAAAGACATATGCCCAGAAGAAATTTGGTGAGCAGCTCCCCTCGTGATTGAAAATGTTCATTTCTTCCTTATCTACATTTGCTCTTTTTTTTTTTTTTAAGATTTTTATTTATTTATTTGACAGAGAGATAGCGAGAGCAGGAACACAAGCAGGGAGAGTGGGAGAGGGAGAAGCAGGCCTCCTGCTGAGCAGGGAGCCCGATGTGGGACTCGATCCCAGAACTCTGGGATCATGACCTGAGCCGAAGGCAGACGCTTAACGACTGAGCCACCCAGGTGCCCTATCTACATTTGCTCTTACAAATTGTTAAGATTGTCTTATATTTTTATATGGCATCATTTTTGCATCATTTTACTCGAGATTTTTTTTTTTGAGATAAATTATTCAGTCACTTTTGAACTTCTTTATACAATTATGACTTAGATTTTTATTTCAGTAGTTTCAAGCCTTTTGATTCCTTGCAGGTAAACTATAAATCACAACAAATTAAGATTGCGATGTGAATTTTATTTATTTGTTTACTCAGCAAACATTTACTGTGTGCTGTGTTACTGTGTGCTGGGCGCTGGGCTGCTCCTAGGGGGGCAGTCTGGACATAGGGATCTCAGGTCTCTGCTGCTTCTCAGCTTCCAGTGCTCCTGATGAGACCTAAGCAGCTGCAAGAAAGTGTAGTAAGAATTACGGTGGGAACTCAAAATTGTAGACTAGACACCTCATCCATCATTCACAATGAAATGCGGCCTTACATATTTTATGTTTTTTTAACCAAATAGAAGTCATGCAGTAAGTCTACTTCTTGATTTATCATGCAATTTAATGGCGAGATGTTATTAATGAGTTAGTTACTTGTATATTGGTTGTAAAAATCACATCCACTCTAATGAGTCCAAGAGGAGTCTATTTCTTTTTATTCATGTTTGCTTGTTTGTTTGTATTGCAGGTGTCTCTTGGATTTGGCTACAAATTTATAGATCTTCTGCACTGTGTACAGGCACAGGTGAGTCAAAATTAAGCCTTTCTGTTGGAATATTTTTATTTTTAAGTAAACTCAAATATTTAAAAATTATTTATAGTGTAGCAAAATGTGTAAACAAAACAAATATAAATAAGAAAATGTGTATTTGTCAGCATTTCTGTTTTATTATAAAAATTCTGTGGGAATGTGTTAGAAATGAATTTGAAGGTAAAGTGATCTTATCTGTTTATCAGTGTTTACTGTGTGTATTTGGGAAGAATTTACACATACCCATTAGATGAGGTGATTTATAATGTCACAGCCTGGCAAAATGTTTACCTTTTTTTATATATAAATAAAATAGTTGCTATCTATTTTGGCAGCAAATGGAGGTAATTGTTTTAAATTTAATGAGCAGGCTTTTCTTGTCCAACCAGTCTGAAATAGCTTCTCAGTCACTTTTTTTTTTTTTTTTTTTTAAGATTTTATTTATTTATTTGAGAGAGAGAGAGAGAGAGAAACAGCACGAGAGGGGGGAGGGTCAGAGGGAGAAGCAGACCCCCCGCCGAGCAGGGAGCCCGATGTGGGACTCGATCCCAGGACTCCGAGACCATGACCCGAGCCGAAGGCAGTCGCTTAACCAACTGAGCCACCCAGGCGCCCCTCAGTCACTTCTTAACACACCACCCTGATAGATTTTTATCATGATATTTATTATCATGTGATACATTCTTATTTCTTTATAGTCTTCCCTTCGAAAATATAAGCTCTGTGAACACTGAGACTGTTTTTGTCTTGGTAAAAAACGGTATCCCTGACTTTTAGGATAGCACCTGGTATATAGGAAAGACTGAATAAATGTTTGTTTAAAGTAATTATTGGATAGTAAATATTAAGAATTTGCTTATATTCAGAGTCATCAAGCTCTGCATCTATAAAGAAAAACTAGAAATAGTTTTTATACTTATTTCTAAATATGAAATTAATTTGTATCAAGTACTTAAAGTATATGGCTCTTAAATGTTCTGAGAAATTACCTGTGTTGCATATATTATGTACTAAAGTGTGCTTAATCAGGATAGATTCAGAGGGTAATGCTTCCAATTCTGTATTTATTTTGTCACTACCCTAGAAGGTTCTTATGATCAAGTTATGGATAAACCTGAAGCAGGTGTGAGAGCTTCTTACCTCCTTACTGGATTATGCTACCATATTAGATATGTTTTTTGATATCTTTGTAGAGAGTGAGAGAATTGAAAATCTCTAAGTCAAAAATTTCCCATGACCTATCACTGGATACAAAATTTAACTTCCTTACTTAGTTTTCATTTTCTAGATTGGGGAGATTTTTTGGTCATTTTTCCACCCTCTATATTGATGTTTGAATTCATTATCCTAGAGCTATAGGAGGGATGCTTGGCTGGCTCAGTTGGTAGAGCATACTACTCTTGGTCATGAGTTCAAGCCCCACATTGGGCATTGAGCTTACTTAATAAATAAATAAATAAATAAAGATAGCTATAGGAGGGCGCCTCTCAAATAAATAAATAAAATCTTAAAAAAAAAAAAAAAGATAGCTATAGGAATAAGCAGACCACCTATTTCCTTGTGTCCTTGGCAGTTTTCTTTAGGTGTTCCAAGTTATTGGTTGCCATTATTGGTTTCTTGAGAAACCAATTGCCATTATTGGTTGGTTTGTTTGTTGTTGTTTTTGGTATGTTTTGTTTTTTGATCTTTCTTCAGGCATTGGTCTCTTCTGCCAGCATGATTTTCATTTATAGAAAGAATTAACTCTGACCTTTAGTGTTTTTTTAAGTAAAATTTTATGAATTATTTCTTATTCACATTTAATTTTATAAGTGCAACTTGCAGAGATTCTCTTGATAATACTAATAACAGCAGCTATTACTTATTGCTCTCTTACTGTGTGCCAGGCATTATGTAAGTACTTTAGAGTTATCTTGAGAATAACAGATAAGGAAATTGAAGCTTAGAGAGGTTAAGTGACTTTTCCAAGGTCATATCAAGTAAGTGGCAATTTGCCACTCCAAAGACCTTGATCTTAACCGCTGAGCTCTATTTTATGCCTAAATAGCCCTGACTACAAGCATATTTGTGGCAGTAAGTGAATTATAGGAAAATCATGTTGCTATGTGAGGACTTCAAAATTAATTTAAAAGTCAAACATTATTTTGCTTCCATTTCATTAGCAGGTCCTAACTTTTAACCTTTATTTCAAACTGTGAAACATGACAACTCATTTGAAATTTAATGACTACCTAAACAACTCCACTAAAGTTGGAACTAAAGTTCCACTCTGGCACTTTTCATTTTGTGCTCACTTTTGAGGACGGGGGAGAGGCACATGGGGGAAAGCCATTTGGATTCCTTTTTCCATTATAAATGTGTATGCTATGAATCAGCATTCTTTATCCCTTGAAATATTAGAAATTTTTGTTTACAGGTGGCATATATAGCTTGGTAGATGAATCATTTTTCTTAGAACAGGTTGTATGAAATGTAGTAACTATAGAATTACTTAGAACCCTTATCTTGAAAGGTATAACAATTTATATCTCTGGCAAAATATTTTTAATTTTTTTAAGAAATGAGGTAGTATGACTTTGAGGTAGAGCAGAGTTGGTTCAAACAGAACTTCAGCTTTCTTTATTTAGTTTATTTTCGGCGCTGAGGAGGACATATTATATAAAAGTATTTTGAGTCTTACATGTATAATATTGTGGACAAAATGTTCTTGAAGACAGTGTTGTTGAATACATCTTAAAATTTTGATTTGAGAACAAGATTAATTGTATTTCCTCACACTTGCCAAAAGGTTTGTGTCTATAAGTATAAACATAAATTTCAGATTTGAGTATATGGAAAGGGAATTCTGTTTGAATTAAAAAGACAGACTTTATTTAACAGACAAATTGTGCTTTTTAATCTATAGCTACATCAATATTTCCATTCCAGTCTCACATTTTAAGCGTTTTTAAAGTTAGCCAGTAAAATATTCTTAGAATTGATAGTGAAAACAGGAGCAAACATTAGATAAATCTGTTTGACAATATAGCCTTGAAATGTAATTTTCCCTTCACTATGGAAAACTCAACTCAGTGTGGAGTCGTATGTACTTTGTATTTATTCCTAAGTCTGTTTTCTGTATGCCAGAAGATTTGGGGTGGGAGAACAGGGTGGGGGATGGGTGGGTGAAGAATTGTTTACACACACTAGTTCGAGCTAAACTCTTTGATGCTAATATATGGAGAGAGAAGTTGTCCAAAGTATAATAAAGTGTAATACACTTCTTGTAATACTAATATACTTTGTTGTGTACTAAATACTAAAAATTGTATTAAGCATATCAAGACATAAAAGAAATTATGCCCATGTTGGCTATGACGTGGTTAAAAGTACATTTCAAGTGAATATTTGTTGGGTTTTGAATTCCCTCTTCATTCATAGATGTGAGATGAGTGATTGGCTGCCTGATTTAACTAAGATGTGTATATTCCCATGAAGACAGGGCAGCTTGATTTGAGTTACAGATCTGAGGCTTTGAGTACTATCCACTGAAAATCAGTATTAATATAAACAAACATTGAGAACATTTAAGTATACATATCTTGCTTTAGGCAAAATCTGCGGACATTTAATTGTATTGCTACTTTGTGATGTTTCCTTGAAATTTCAGCACGGTAGGCACTGTGATCTGGAAAATAACAGATATTTTGACAGTTGGCAAAATGCCCTCAGTCATTTAACTATGGGAGCTGGAATTCTAACCCTAGCCTCCGTGGGTAAGCTCCTCTGCTCTTGGTGAGCAGGGCTGACTGCTGAATTCAGGCTTACTGGTAGGTCGAAATTGCCTTGCAGTGGGTGTCATTGACACAGAGCCATCAGTTGGAAAATGGATGACAGGCCAGTTTTTAAAGCATTTTTACTATTCCACTTTCCTCCTTTTTTATGTACACACTAGTGTAAACAGATTGGCTTAGTTTTCCCCATGAAAGTAAATTCATTCAACACTCTTAACTCTCCTTTCTCACTCCCCTCCTTCCTTTTACCTTTGGGTCATGACTGTTTCCTTCTGATTCTCCTCCCTTTTGGAAGTATTTATTAATTATTTATATTGTTCTAGACTATGCTAAGTGCTGTGGGAACTAGCACTTTTAATACCCCAAATTATTAAACTGGAAAAGGAATATTACTACAAGGTTAACTCCACATTTCCTTGCTCAGTGTTTTCACACTGAATTTTGGCTTTCTGATTTTTCTTTTAAAGAAAAAAAACCTGAGCATTGATTTATGAATTATATGTCTTTTCTTACTAAAAGTCTTAATCTATCCATGGTAGTAAAGGTTAAGGCACCAGCAATGACAACCAAAAGCTGTCTATATCATAAGTAAATGTTTTGTTTGTATGGAGTTCACAAGGCTTTCAAAGTGTGCTCTGGGGAAGGTACACACCTCCTGAGTGTGTTGTGCTTAGTCAGGTTGAGGTAATCACAGAGTCTAGGCAATCTGTTTAGAACCATATCCTTGCTATTTCTATAGGTATAGACAAGCAGAGTGTTGTTGGTAAGCGTAGAGCGTTGCTGAAGAACATACCAGAAATACGGGGAACCTGATTTTCCTGATTGACTTAAATTTTAGCAAAAAAGGTAATTTAGCAAAATTTAGAATTGCAGACAGCAATTTAAAAACATGTTTTTAAATAAAATTCATAAGGCTGTTTCTTAGATTATAAGAAAGTTGAGTTTCAGTTTAGAGACGTTTTACTGTGAGAATACTTTATTTTTAAGATTTTTTATTTATTCATTCGAGAGAGAGGGTGAGAGAGAGAGAGGGAGAGGGAGGGAGCAGGGAGCCTGAGCGGGACTTCATACCGGGGACTCCGGGATCATGACCTGAGCCCCAGGCAGACACTTAACCCACTGAGCCAGCCAGGCACCCGAGAATACTTTTTTTAATTGGAAGTTCCTAAGTGTGAATTCTGTTGGTGTAGCTGGTGTTTTTTTGGAAATCATTAAAATTAA